ATTATTATTTAGGTGGTTTGGATGGTATGAATTTCAGTGGGAATCAGTGGGCTAATAATAGTAAACCGCAAACCAATAACAACGGTATGTTCACTCCGAATCCACCCACCACGCCTCAGCACGGCGCTTCCACAACGCCCCAGCATCACGCTAAATCTCCGGCCAATCCCGACTACAGCCGATCGCATTTCGATACTGCTTTCGGTAAGAAAACGGCCGCGCCCGACGTCAAACCGAAGCCAACCGACATATTCGGCGATTTGTTGGGATCTCAGGGTTATCAATTTACCGCTAAAAAGGATTCGGGTCCCAGAACTATGAACGACATGAGGAAGGAGGAGTTGGTCAAGGATATGGACCCGGAGAAATTGAAGATTTTGGAATGGGTACAGTACTTTTGTTATTAATGTAAATATTTTTTTTCTATTTATTTACTTTTATTGTACAGGTGGATGGAAAGAAGCAAAACATCAGAGCTTTGCTGTGTTCGATGCACACGATCCTCTGGGACGGTGCCAAGTGGAACAAATGCGAAATGCATCAGTTGGTCACTCCAGCTGATGTTAAGAAAGCTTATCGCAGAGCTTGCTTGGCCGTACATCCAGACAAGGTACGTCAATTAAGTAAAATCAAGTTTAAGTTTCTAATACTGTATTTAATTCCTTAGCAAGCGGGCACTGAAAATGAAAATCTGGCGAAGCTGATCTTCATGGAGATGAACAACGCCTGGTCAGATTTCGAAAACGACGCAACGCAACAAAACATGTTCTCCAGTTAATTCAAACACACCTCCATAAAAAAAGAAAACTATATATATATATAAATACATATAAAATGCAAAAAAAAAATGGAAAAGTATTCTAGATTTTTAAGTTTAAAACCAGAAAGCGAAGAGTTTTTCTAGGGAGAATCAAAGTATAAATTGAAAACATTCCATTTTACCGTTTTCGTTTAGCTTCACGATCAGTTCGAAGCCCAGCCGTACATATTACTTTTTTTTGTTGTTGTTTGTTAAAGACGTATATATTTTTTATGTATAATTGAGCTTTTATCTATGCTGTTTTCTTTATAGCTGTGAATTGATTTTTTTAACGAATAATATATGTAATGTAATAGTAATAATGTTAATTTAAGACGAAACACTTTCGTTTTGGGGGGCATCGTTGTGGCATGAGAGAGACTATATGATATTATTATTGTTAGATGAAACGAACGGACGTTACGTTTTTTATTTGCTATATGTGATTTAAATCCAAGATTTAGAATCCGGAGAGACCGCAACAAAAACAGATGAACGATATATAAAAAAAATATAATAAATGTTTTCCTGTCATATTTATGAGTACTACCATCTTCGTAGAACGATGGACAATATTGGCAATATGTTTAACTATTTTAATTTATTACTATATATTTTTATGGATAAATAACAATAAATGAAAATGTTTAGTGTTTTAATCAGCATAATGTTTGTTATTATCTCAAATCTATATAAATTCTCATGTCCACAATTTTGTATACACGTTCGCACGAACGTACTCAAGGTTCATACTAACGTACACTTCGCCTGAGAACTAACTTCTGCATATTTTCTTTAAGTTTATTTATGACATATATATACAAAAAAAAACATTTATAGTAAAATAAAAGAGTACTAATTAAAGATAGATAGATTAACTTCTATTCTTTTCAAGAAGTTACTACAGAAAAACTGTATAATATTACAATTTCATTAACAGATTTTATTCATTATTTTAGGATAAGCAATTAATATAAAACAAATGTTGTTTTTGATGATTTAAAATCAAATAGTCAATGTCTTGAAAGTAAGCATTGATCGAAGTGCGTGTGTTTCAATATTTGTGCGGTATTTCTCCGATTATCCAGGGATGTCGCCGAAACGTTTGCGACAGCAGAACAAAACCGTGACTATATACAACAGCAAAAGCTCCAACGGAAATGGCAAGAAGGTGGACAAGAAGCAGAGCTGCAGTTACGAGCAATCGAGGAACAACCTGGATAACTGGGAGTTCCACTTCAAAGCCGTCGAACTGGATGAAGTCAAGTGCATTTTGAAGTGCAAAGAACTGGTCTTCATATTTAACAAAAAAATGTATTTAACGAAGTTGAAGGTAAACTGAGATCATTTTTAGATCGGAATCCCTTTGATAATAGGAGCAGCGGTTTTGAGTAAAAAGGAAATTCTGTTGAATCTACTCAAGCATGGGTACAACATCAACGAAGCCGACAAGGTGCATCGTATATTAGAAATTTATTGTTTGGTTTGACTATTGAAGTTAATAGAATAATTGGACTCCGCTGTGCTGGGCTGTGAAGCTGAAGCAAACGGAGATGGTGCAGTTCCTGTTGTCGAACAATGCAGATACGTCGATCAAACCGAGCAATGGCGACGGTATTTTGTTCATGGCTTTGGGCAATAGCATGTGGACAGAAGACAGTTTCCTGCTGCTTTGGAATAGCTTCAAGAATTTGGGCCAAATCGATGTGAACGCGACGAATAAGAACGGCCTCAGCATTATGCATCTAGCCATAAGGAGGGAATGGAATGTCCTGCTGGATATTCTGCTATCGTCCAATGACATCAACGTAATATGTTCAAAGTGAAAAGCATCAGTAATTAACTTTGTCTTCAGGTGAATGCCGTGAATCCTACAGGAGTAACACCACTGATGTTGGCCAGTTACAGAAACGACTTTGGTATAGTTTCGAAGCTGCTGGTGAAAGGGGCGAACGTGAAGCGAAGGAACGCAGATGGATTCACCGCTTTGTGTTATGCGTTCTCTTCGGCGATGCTGAAGAATCTCGAACCACCTTTCTCCGTCATCGATAAACTTCAAGCGGAGATGATGAAGTCGAAGTTCTTCTTTTCTGATTACCTTAAAGTTACATTAGACCTTCGATGATTTACACACACAAAGAAAAACTAATTTATTCGTATTTTCATTTAGGATAGGCTAAAGATTATTTCCAGTCCCGCCAAGAAGAATCACGTGGATCAACCGACCGTGGCTCAGATGCTACAACATGTCTTCGGATTTGTCGCCGGGAAAATTGAGAGCGGCTTCGAGTTACTTTGGGAACAACTTAATATTGCTTCGTTGATAAAAGATGTTAGTTTTTCCAGTTTTTGTAATTTGGGTAAAATCTAACTTCATAGACATATTTCTCAAAAACGCAATACTTACCAAGTGACTTATATTAATACAAGCAGATTCTAAATACTTGTCAAAGTAATAATGGAGACTAAATATAAACATGATTTATGAAGTTGCAAGGCAAGTTTCGCGAATATAATGTATTAATTTATATAAAAGAAAGATTTATCTAAACTAAATTTTGGAACCTAGACTAAAGTTGACAAATATATTGATTTCGTTTTCTTTAGGCTTTAGCTAAACATTTGGAAAGTGGCGAAAAGGAGAATCTTAAGTTGCCTTTGTTGGTTTTGAATACGATTATGAAGATCTACCCGTTCAACGAGTTGGATTACGTAGTAGAGGGTCTGATAATGTGCGGCTGTTTGGATTGTTGCATGGATGTGGTTAGACGTTTTGGAGAAGACGAACTGATGTTTCTGGCTTTCTCTCCGATTGCGTTTTGCAAAATCACGCATGAAAACGCTGCAGATTGGCTGAACTCGAATCGCGAGGACATTCAGATATTCTGCAAGGCGTACATCAACGTGCTCAACAATATGCAGGTATCGCAGGGCGATTTCAACTTGATGCTCGGCAGAGTTGAAGGTTTGAAAAGGAGAACTTCCAAGCAGCACATGCTCATCGATAAATACGAGAAAATCAAGAAAAACAAGCGACGGAAGTGCTTGAAGGTGAGGAAATCGGAGGAGTTGAAGATTGAGGAGGAATTCGTTGAAACTGATTGCGTTAACGCTATCAAAACAGCTATTGGTATAGTCGACGAAGACAAGTTTCCGCAGCCACCGTCAAAGTCGAGAAGCAGTTTGATAAAGGAGCATTGGAAAACGGTAATCCAATCTTTGCCGTTCCACCAGTGCCATTTCATTAGTAAAGATAAGAACGTCGATTTGGCGATCAAATATCTGGAGGGTCTTCTGGCTTTGATCGTGAATAAGTACAAGGTCATGTGGGAATTAGATCGGCCGGTGGAACCAGATTGCGATGTCCTCGATTTCACTCTGGAAGTGAATCTGGAGATGCAGCAGAACGTCGAGAAGGAGAAACTTCGTGCAGTGCACCGAGAGTTCTACAATTTGACGAGGAACGTGAGGCAACTGTACGAATCAGATCCCGATACCAGCGAGGTCCTTTTGAAGGAATTGGAGAAAGTGCTGTTGAGTCACAGCATTCGCGGTGAAACTATCCTTAGCCAGGTGGCATTGATGGAGATGGTTAAGGTTAATGTGACAATGCCCATAGACTTCGAGAACGTACTCCCCAAATACGTGGAGCGCGTGGTGAATGGTGAGATTGAAGAGCTGGAGGACGTAAATATTTCGGTGATTGAGCACGTCGGCGCTCCAAAAAACTCGAATCAGAATGGGATGGGTGATTACGTGTACCTGAACGACATCCCAAAACCTTGTGGATGCCTGAATCGCACCGATTTCTACCATTACGCCGTTTGCGATGAAGACGACGGTAAAGTGTGTTGTGGACGCATCTGTTCCAAGGATTGCGAGGAGTCCGAGCTTCAGGATTCGAGATATTGCTCTTTGTTGAGGAGTTTGGAGATGATGGAAGATTCCCAAAGCTTCTTCAACGGTCGCATTCGCATCAGCAACGCGGAGAAGAGGAAGTCGCACATTCTTTCGCCGAGCGGAAACTTCGCAGCTCTAGAGATCGGACTAGGAGAGGATAGTTTACCTCTGGCTGTGAAGTTCCTCTCGAAGAGCGATGTTTTTGCGCCGCTTCTCAAGAAACTGATCGATCCTATAATCGAGCTCAAGCATAAGAATATAATGCAGTATTACTTATGCGCGTACGAGTCGAATTTTCTTGTTGTAGCTACACCTCTGTGCGAGTACAATTTGGGTCAGTACGTGCTGAAGATGAAGCAGTCGCAGATGAAGATCTGTAGATTCAACTTGATCAAGCAGATTTTAAGTGGACTTATGTACTTGCACGATCACGATGAGCCGATCGTGCATGGAAACTTGAAACCAAGCAACGTCTTTATCACGTTGAATGGGACAGTTCGCTTGGCCGAGTTTGGAATCCATAAAGTCCGTTCCATCATCTGCTATATAGAATGAAATTTATGTTGCAATTTTCAGGCGCTGTCGAAGGTCAAGAATTTACCGCAATCCACAATAATATGGTTCGCGAGCGAATGCTATAAGCTGTACAAGCAGAACTTGCCTTTAGAATGCACCTGCAGTTCGGACATTCAAGTTGCTGGGATGTTGGTACATTTCGCGATGAACTATGGGGCGCATCCATTCGGAAAAGACGTGCCTGATATTCTGAAGAATTTGGAAAAGGCCACTGCTCACATCCTATCCAAAGACATGGAGCTCTACGATTTGCTCACATGGATGCTGTTGGGAGAGCCCGGAGAGCGTCCTACCATCCATCAAGTCCTTTCGTAAGTTTTAAGCAACTCAAATTATAAAATTAATGTATATTAATTATTGAAAACAGTCGACACCTTCTTAACATATACTAATTTAAATACGTTCGATAATACGTACATGATTATTTGCCTGTCAGAATTAACGAACAAATATCTTTACCAACGATGCAAGTTAGCAACTGTTTTTTTTTAAATACTCGATTTAAGAAGCTAATAACATTACTGTTAGACTAACTTAAAATATGTAGACCGTTTAATACAATGTGTACGTTTGTATGAAAGTTGAGTACGTTCATACGAACTAATACTATACTTACCTTCTATTTGAGGTATAGTTTCGGAAAAAAAAAAGTTACTAAACAATTACAATTATTTATAGATATATTTCTTAGTAAAAACAATGACTTATATACATGGTTAGTCAAAAAGTATCGAACGCGGGCCATGAAAACGTAAATACGAGGCATCTTGTTCTTTGTTCTCAAAAGCTTGCGCAACAGCTGCTTTCGCAATGGAAACGTTTTCCACTGTTTAACAATATTTTTACACGGCGCGGAAAATTGTTTTATTTTTCTTGAACACCTTTTCTTTGTGCAACACTCATAACACAATATGTGCAGTGTTTTTCATTTTAATGTGGAAATATAATAACCGAACAGAATTTGCATTGCAAATTAAAAAGAAACGCGTACTTTAAACGAGAAATGAGCATTTCCAATAAAGACACGAAATGAAATATACGAAGCTTTACAAATATTTACGAAACTATGGCATTCCTTAAACTTTTGTATATATAGATATATGTGTGTGTGTTATATGTAAAAGGCGAGTCGCTAAAGTTTGCTAGAAATGGAAGAGATTATAGTTTCCTAGGTTACTTGGAATAAAGTTATTTTTTTCGAAATTTGTATGATATTTGACTAGAACGTTATTTCATGAAACAAATGATAAATATCATCAGCACTCTAAAATGTAGTTTATGCATTATGGTTATTCGTAAGTGCTTTTATTTATGATATAAGTGAGCACTCACGAGTTTAAGTATACTTTATAGAGTTTTACTATGAAAAGTTTTTTTTTTTCTAAAACTTTAGCGACACTATCAAACTGTACATTCCGAATAAAATTTTCAGACACATTTTCTTCTGGTCGAACAAGAAGAAATGGCGATACGTACTGGCGTGTGCGGGCATCGGCTCGAAGATCCCCGTCGACGTGTCGAAGCTGCACTCCTCGTTGGATAAAACCGCGCACAAGGAGAACATCGTCGGCAATTGCTGGGTGTTGACAGCCAAGAAGCAGTACCCACAAGCCACCTTCATCGAGCATAATGACACACCATCGGGACTCCTCAAGTTCATCAAGTTTGTGGTCGAGAACAATCTCATCCTGCAGGACACCGCCGAGAAGTCGCTCAGCTGCTTCATCCTGAACTCATTCCCCTACTTCGCCCTGTCCCTTTACAGGATGATCGAGAATACCGAGTGGTCCGATCACAGAGTCTTCATGCCCTTCCACAGCGTCGTCGATTACTGATATTTATGGAGGATATCATATAACCTTTTTTAATTTACTTTTTAAATTTTCATGCAAAAGAAATGCGAATTAAAAACGCGTTCACGTACACTCTCATTTCTTTCACCACAATTCAATTACGTCTAATGTTTAAATATGATTTTTTTGTTGTTTTTTGTATTATTGGCAGGCCATATTTGTTTGTTTTCAGTTGGTTTCTTTAAGGTAGTAAATTTGGCCCCCCCTTTTACTTTGGTTAGTACTTATGTTATTCTTCGGTTGCGTGCTTTTCACTAAACGATTACGGCGCTGCCCTCGGCTCGTGAATCGGGTAAATCCGGACAATCCGTCCATTGGTTCGTGGTCGGATCGTAGCATTCCATCGCTGCTATCGTGTACTGCGATCGGTAGAAATGGTCGTGGTTCTGGTACCCGCCCATCACGTATAAAAGACCATCCACCGCAGCCACAGCCGGTCTACTCCGAGCCATGTTCATTTTGGGTATGCTCGTCCATTTATTCTAAATAAATCATAGATGTTAATGTGGATTGTGCACTTTCTTATAATATTTACCTTTTTGAACGAATACTTCTCCACTGAACTCAGAACTTGATCTTTGTGGTCTCCGCCCACGACGTAGAGGTGGTCGTTCAGCACGGCCACGCCCATCTGCGAACGTGCAACCGTCATTTGCGGAAGCGAACGCCACACCCCGGTACTGGGATTGTAACTGAGAAAATCTTGCAAATAGCGCACGTGTTGCGAACATCCGCCCACCATGTAAATCAAGCCTGAGAAGAAACGGTCAGTTTGGTTTCCGCACTCTTGATTGGCTTACCTTCATAGCTGACGACGCCCATGCTGAATCGAGCATGCGGCAGATTTCCTGCCGAACGCCATTCGTCCAATTTCGGGTCGTACCGCTCTATGGTGCTGAGTAGATCGTTTTCCATCCACCCGCCGAGTGCATACAAGAAACCATTGATAGAGCAAAGGCCGAAATCGCACCGAGGCACCGACATATTAGCAATCATCGTCCAGGCGTTTTCTTCGGGATCAAAACACTCGCCGCAGGATAAACTGTTCGTCTCCTGTTCACCGCCTATAGCGTAGATCCGCCCATCGAGTGTAGCCACGCCTGGCACGATCCTGTTCACGCTCATATCAGGAGCCCTCGACCATGCCCTAAGCGAACAATAACAAAGTGGTTTTAATTGCACTACGTAGCAAACATCGAATTAGCGATTATAATTTGAACAAGTTTCCCGTAAATCGTCATTGCTGCAAATGCGTTTGTAATGTAAAAGCGAAACAATTGCACGACAATTGAGGAAGTAAACTTGGCGGAGAGCGGTCCGAGAGCAAACTGATTTTCGTTCACGCCACTTCCCCGCTTTTACTTCCCCATTCCCCACAGGTACAGCGTGCGCCGAGGTCGCCGATCTATCTCCAATACCTGGGACTCTTATTTACATGTCTTCACTTGCGCGTTTCGAAATTTAAAATATAAATAAAGTATTAAAAAAGAAACACATGTAAAATAGGAATTCACATACACGTAAGGAAAGAAGACGCAATATTGAACCGCGTGTTTGTTCTCCAATGTAAGTTTGAATTAGATCCATGCACTTGTCCTTCGAATCTACGAGACTCCTTGAACGAGCCACTGTTTAGAAATTTAGCAATTAACCGGTATCCTTCAACTTGCAACATTTATTTTAAAACACTTTCAATGCTAATGTAATCTTTATTCGCTCCATTGCATCTATACAGAAACATGCAATTTAACTTAATGTTTTTAAATTACACCAGAATCGAATTAACGTTATCATTCTATTTAAGTCTTCTGTACACATTAGCATTTAAGTTATTGACCTCAGTCTTTTCTCCTCTTTTTTTTTAAATTATATTTTGATATGTTACTAATTGTTTATAGGTTCTTCTATTTTCATAGACATTTTAAACTTTTGTTTCTACCAAGATTGGAACGCGAAACATTTGTGATGTTTTTATTATAAGAAAGTTCATTCAGCCCGTCTCCTGACCAGATCCAAGGTCAAGATAAATAATCTTCACATTTTATTTCAAATTCCTCTTATTTAAAAATAACAACTTGTTTTTTTTAAATTACGCGAAATGTTGACACTTGCCATATAATTACAATAAGTAATTTGTTTAGTTTCAAAACAAACAATTTCTTAATTCTAACATATGATAAATTAGAATTTAAATAATATTAAATAAAAAAAATATTATTCTTATATGGAATAATAGTAATTATTAATAAATGATACTTTTAAATTCTTGGATACAACTTTAAAATGAAGAGTTTTTAACATTCAAAGTTTTAAAGATTATAAAAAATATATATGCTAACATATATGGTTATTTCTTATATGTTAGATCAGTGTTTCTCAACTTTTTATCGCGCGATCCAATATATGTGTTTGAAATTGTACTGAAACCCATTGTTTCACTCTTTGACCCAAAATGTCAGCTGTCATAGCGCGATCCATTAAAAATGTATTGCAACCTCTAGGTTGAGAACCGCTGTCAATTAACATTGTTTAAAGGTATATTAATTTGTCAAAATTACATTATTTCTTCACCAATTTAATGTTAATTAGTCACCAGACCGGTTATTATATGTTTACCTAATCAACTTTTCAAATTACATAATTGTTTTGTTTTTCTCTCATTTTGTCTGGTTGGAAATACCGTACAAATTTCGATGACGAAGAATGTGATATTCGCATGAATATCTTCTACAACTCTCATAGATTTTAAATATTAAAAAATTAACCAATTTTGTAGACTTAATTTTAATCTTTAATTCACCTGTTTGAGGTTTTTTTTTGTGTGTTGTTTATCTGGCATTTTCTTAAAGTATATTGTTCGTATCTTTCTTTTACACTTTCACTAAATATTTTAAATGCATTTATCTGCTTCATTGCTTTTGTAGAATTCGATTTTTTTTAATGTGCATTTTAGTGTGCTTACTACTAAAAGCGTATTATTTAACGATCTGCTATAATTAAGATTGAGGCAATTGAGAGAATGCGTAATATATTTGCATTACAAACTTTACATCTTTGTTTAGTGTAGATCATTAAAAAATGTAAGTCCGGTCCATGAGCCAAGGTCGTTGTTACAAACTTTAATTTATATGACGCATCAATAATTTACTTTTTTCACAAACAATATTACCACTTTTCGCAACCTTTATTATATTTTAGTCATCAAATTTAAGAGACTAATTAAGTTTTAACTCTATTGTTAAATTTTGTTAATGTTTTATTATGCTTTAATCGAAATCGCTGTCAATATTCATCAAAAAATTGATCAAGTAATAATATTATAATTTGAAGAAATTACAATAATTTAATTAAAATCTCCACTTAAAGCGTAGCTGAATAAACGTAGAATTGATGAACCCAATAAAATTGCAAATATGAAGCGGAAATATTATCCTCCGGTTAGGCTTAAGAAGGTGACCTAAATAAAGTAAAAATGTTTAGGGCCCTCAAATACAAAAAAACTAACTGGTGTCTAGGGCCCACGGTTTTCTTAATAGGGCCCTCCGAGAACCGACACTCTATCCCGAGTGATTTCGGGGCCCAAATAATATTTTGCACGGGGGACACGCCGCTGAAGAAATGCCTACATATATAGACGTTCATAATAAGAAAAGAAATATGAAAATAAAATTTTAAAAAAATATATACAAAAATACTGACTACTCGCATCAATCATAATATATTACAAATGTAAAATATTTACAACTCACAACACGCAAATTAAATTACGAAGATATAAACTTATATTTAAATTATATTCTTCAATTTACGTAAACAATCAAAACAATTCGATAAACAAAGTTCAAATACCTGAGAAACTGTACCAAGAACTTTTTATTATAATTTATATTTATTCACAACTGAACCACTTGGAATTAATTATAAATAAATATTGAATTATTAATATTTGAAGTTATGAACCAAAATTATATTTATCTTTAAAATTCGTCAAATTTAAATTTATGCAATTAAATAGAAACCTCGATATGTTCAAGAAGATCTTAGATGTGCCCTGAATTTTTTTTATCAGATTAATTAAATTATTTTCTATAGAAATCTAACCTATAATTAGTTAATAATTTAAAACTTCATCAAGTGTGTCATGAGATAAAGAAGGTTGAACATTCTATTTTGCTGTAGAATTTTATGAGAATAGTAAGATTAAAATTTGAAATACAAAATGAAATTTTATAAACATAATCCATCTTTTATAACCACATGGAGATTTAATTTAAGGTAAAATTATTTTATTATCCTGGTAATATAACTGAAAGTAAATAATGTGGCATACATTTTAGATGTTTCGTCAGAACAACATATTTTACGGCCTCGGTTTTACCTCCTGATTCACATAAATAGATCTGAAGGCTCATTAAACAGTTGATTGATTTTATTATCAAATACGACATTTAGTTTGTTCTTATTTGTTAAAAGCCCTCAAGACATCCTATTTGACATTGCTTTAATATTTACATTTAAATTTAGAACATTTATGTTAGTTATTACTTGTAAACGTTATCTCATTTTGAAACATTTTGGGAAAACTATAAGTAATTAATCATTATTATCTTTTTCAAAATATCGTCAGATACAACAGAAATAAGTAGCTAAGAAACTTTTTACGGCAAGCAACACCATCACGGCATAAGTTAATCAGGACTCTGATAATTCACAAGTACTATTCAAATAAGAAGATAACTATGCTCAAATACTGTAAAGAACAAGTAAAAACTTTTAGAAATTAATAACACATTTAACATATTAATAACAGTGGTGAAACTAGCGGATTTAGCAGTTGACATGCCCTAGGCGCATTTCAATTTTAAGGTCCATATTAATAGGTACCAGATAAAAACCAGATAATGTTAGATGAAGTGTAGGTCCTTAAAGGGCCACATTAAGTTTGTTGTGGGCCCATTTTAAGATTTGAGTATCTATTTAAGATGGGGTGGTGAAATATATGGATTTTTATACAATTATTTATAAATTTGAAAGTTAATAATATGTTAGAATTGATAGAATACAAAACGCCACTACAAGTGCATTTAACTTTAACCAACACATGCAAATAATTGGTTTTAGTCATATCTACAGGCGATTTCCTTATTTTTGCAAATAGACTTAAACAATATGAAAGTTAGTTTAAGTTCAGTTCAATAGTAAAATTTTCTTACTCAGTTTGTGATTTTTCTACTACTTGTAATATTCATGTATGGTTTTAAATTATTATTATTATTATCAACCAACATAATCGAAATTACTTTGATATTTCGAGAAATAGAAGCAGGAACTATTAAAAAATCTAATGTTGGAATAATTGATTTGTTTACATCAAGGTTGAATGTGACCTTCAGGTCTACTAGTTCCTTAAAAAATAGGAAATACTTTGAACCCTGTATAATTATAGATCATGAATAGTAAAAACCGTGAATAATCGACAGATGTGCAAATGCAATTTTCATTATTTTGTTTTTTGTCTAAATTAAATTGTTTTGAATAATGTTCTGACCTTCAGTACAATTACATTAATTAGTTACCTTTAGTTCAAGGTTCGGTAACAAATGCATGTCTAATTAAATTTACAGTAAATGCGTGTTCTGTGACGGTTTCATCACGATTGGTAAACAAGTATTTTTAAACAATTTAGTAAGCATTATTTGGAAATATAATTAATTTCCAATTCGTTTTTTTTTTAAATTGTTTTAAGAGTATCATTACAATAAATGCTTTACTTTAGTTCAAGGTTTACACAGTCCAAGGATTCACAAATTGTGCGCCGCTTTAAATTGAAGAAAAACTACTATTAACATAAAGTTCGCCCTGAGATAGACCAATGTTTCGACTTGGGACGCCTCCGAAAAAGTTTGGGAACCCCTCTATTATATACAAATGGGAATTTAACATAATATCGATATAATGAGATCTAGCTATTGATATGTAGTTCACTTGCATGGAGTTATTCTTTGGGAACATAATAGTATATACTAGACATTTAGGAAGCATATACATACTGCAATAGAGGGTTACGATGTTGGTAGTAATAACACAATACCTTTTGAACACGTCGAACTTCTCAACGGCAGCGTAATTCAATTCAGATCGTTGTCGGAAGGTGGGATACCTTTCTCGTTTCGAACCTCCGATCATGTAGATGTCCTTTTTGGCGCAGAGTCGCGGTTTCACCGATAAAGGCACCAGACAACCCTTGCGGTTCTTCAGATCATCGTGAACGGAACGCAGCGCCACCCTTAAGCTACTATCGTTGCACGCCGGTATAGAGCGTTCTAACAAACCTTTCAACATACACAATATTTAAATTAAAATATGTTTTTTACCATTATTTCTTGAGACTAACCTAAGGAGAGTAAAGGTAGACGGATGTGTTTAAGTATTTCGAAAACGTAGCGTCGCCTCGTTACGATATCGCTCATGATCCATCTGATCGCCACTTGGAACACCTGAAATTCCGAATCGACGCACAAGTACTCCGATGTGAGGAATTTCAATAGCAGCTCTTTGGGCAGTTCGTAAATCTCTTTCTCCTCGCTCACCTGAACGAAATGCGACTCGATATATTGCACCGATTTGTTCGTCAACAGTTTACAATTATGCGCTTCCGCAAATCTGAAACAAAAGGATAATTGATAACACTATAACTTAATTATTTGATACTTTAACTAAACATTTCATCCTTTCACGGAGGTTTTTGTATATATCGTTAATATAAGGGCGGCATCGCTATTTTTTCTAATGAACCATATCCACCACTCTGAGAACTGGGAGCCGCAATTTCTAATGAAAAGAGCCGCATTTGTCCACCGCTGGTGTATACTCAGGTTAACTGAGACCTGACTATACGCACATAATTATTAAGCTAATGTAATTTGAACATAAACAGTGGATTCACATATAAATGTAAGCATATACTTTTATTTTAATACACATTTCTCTTTGTTCGCACAAACGTACTAAGAGTTCATACGAACGTACGTGTTGTTTTACCCTGACATTAAGTGATTTAATAATTATATCAGAGTTTCTCAAAATTTTTGGTCTGTTTGCATTTTAAAAAAATCTGCGATTCTTCATAGTAACACTGGAGTTATAACATAGTTAAGTACAGCAAAAATAAAAAAAGTCAACAAAAAAGGAGGAACTAAAGCAAATCATAAATTATTCTTATTCAAAATTGTCAATAACATTATTAATGATTTCCGCATTATCTATTTAGAATAAAGAAAAATACTTTGTTTACTTTCGATTTTTTTTTGCATTATTACAAAACGAAAACAAAATTAATAATTTGCAAAAATGGTCAAATTTCATAATAAGAAATTAATTATCTGCTCACTTCCTTTCCTCGATTTAAAAATTAAAATTCATGACATTTTGTTAAAGTAAAAACAAAAAAATATATATAAAATTCAATGCGCCAAGGTTGGGGCAATGTTTAAAACTTTTCGGATTCCTGATGTAGATAATGTATAAGAAAATTAGTTTAATTAAATATTGTTAAAGAAAACGGATAATCAACAAAAAAAAGAGTAATTATATCTTTATTATTTTTTCAATTACTGTTATTATTACTACTAATATAACGTATGTTTTCGTTATGCAAGCGTTTCCACCTAACGTATTTATGATGAAGTGTGGAATGTAATCAAATTTAAGTAAAATATACGAGATGTTTTTCCGAGTATTCAATGTGGGGCTACGACCAGCAGAATCCAAAAATAAAACAATTCTGTGTCATGCCTTGTATATTTTTATCATGATACGCACTTCAAGAATTCTTTGCTCGTTTCCATTAGTCAAGGATTACCACTTGCAAAATTCTTGTACTTGATATATATTTGTACAATATGAAAAAAAAATACTTTATCAATAATTGATAATAAACAGTTTCGATATTATTTTGAATGTTTGTATCAAAATTCAATTGATTAAAAAATAATATAAATTTCTTAAATAATAAAGTAAATTTGATTGTATCAAATGCATTTACAAAGGTTGTTAGTCTTTACTTGATTTTTTACAGGAAAAATGTGCTAATATTTAGTTAAACTTCAACAAATACTTTCTAAAGTTAGTATACATGTAATGTACACCAGTGTTTATCAAACATTTTGGTCTGGGACCCCCTTCTTTAAAGGACCCCAGAAGAATGGGTATATGTAGAAAAACATACTGTCCTGTCTGATATCAATTTTTTTGCGACCTACACTTTGAGAATCACTGATGTATACAATTCATTACTTTATATTTACTGAAATAACATTTTTTTTATCCATTAGTAATTTAAGATATTCATGTAAAGATGCAATTTTATATTATAAAAATTCTCATTTCTTTTTATCAAAAAGTGATAATTATTAAGTTTCTTCAAAACAAAATTATTACCATTTCTTAGCTGACTTTTCTTATAAGCCTCTTTTTTTGGAGAACATTGATTTAAGATAAAAATTTACGGTATTTAATCAATAAAATATTTACCTGTAAATGCCTATGGCATTAATTGGATGCAGTTCCTTCTCAAGAAATTCAGAGCAAGATAGAACAACTTCATGCAGTTCCAGCATATCAGCAGCCACAAAGAGATCTTGTACATTATTCTGGTTGATGTTGGCTTCACCCGTGTAGATAAAGTTGATGACTAGTTCTAAAATGTATGCAGGAATTGTTGGAAGCTCTACAAAATGCTGATTCTGCTCACAGAGACCACCAGTGAACATTGCATGGAAATATGGGCAACTTGATGCCAAAATAGCTTTATGAACCTAAAACAATAACAATTAACAAATAAATAATAACTCAACTAAAATAAATAAATTACCTTAAAAGTTCTATTTTGAGATTGAATCTCCACATCACAGAACCTCTCATCAATCCTCAAGTTATTTAAATTCTTCAAGATTTTCATGGAATAAGAACATGTTCGCTCCTCATTGGGCTTGATGAAATTGTTGTTGTCAGTGTTGATGTTCTTCAGCTTCTTGATCGTCGGTATTATGAAATCCATTTCTTATTCGATTGTTTGTTATTTCGGTTGTAAACAATATTTTGTTAGCAGTACTTGCACGAGGCTACGCCTATTTTCCAGCCCCTCAAAATTGGTCCATCCTTTATTAATATGCACTGTTCATTCGGGTTTCATCATTTGCGAGATTCCGGTTGGATCCAAAAAATCTCTATTGTTTATTTGCAATTCTTTACGCTCGTTTCTTTTTAAAACAAATGTTCTGTTGTTTTGATTGATGGCTATTCTATTTTGACGTTTCAGTGCTGGAAACATTTGGAACTGACACTCGTCTTACCAACATTATTTTAAAAGATTGAAACTGGATTATTTGGATTATAATACAGTGGCGTATTATCCTCTTATTACCAAAGAACATAATATAGTATATAGCAATATATAGCGTATATAGTTTCATTTAAAATTTACTTATATTTATACATTTTTCCAAAGGACAAGTTTTTTTTTCAAAATGTTTAAACTTCAAAACTTTTCATCATTCAAATTATATAAATTTCTACAATTAAACAATCGAAATATTGAAATTCTGAGATAAATACAATATTTTAGCTATACTTATATTATTTTAATCAATTATATTGATTAATAAAAGTTTCATTTTCAAATTTTTGTAATTGATAAAATTTAATTTAGGAATAAAACCAAAGTTATTTGGTAGAATACCAAATCTTAACAGAAGCCAACATATAAGTTCAATAAAAGTTTTGTTTAACATTTACTTGTATTTGGACATTTTTCATTTTCGCAAAGGACAAGATTTTTTTTTTCAAAATTTTTAAACTTCAAAACTTTTCATCATTCAAATTATATAAATTTCAACAATTATACAAACGAAATATTAAAATTCCTAGACAAATACAATATTTTAGCTATACTTATATTACCTTATTCAATTATATTATTTAATAAAACTTTCATTTTCAATTTTTTATAATTAATAAAATAAAATTTAGGAATAAATATAAATTTATTTGTTACAATACCAAATCTTAATACAAGGCAACAACTAAGTCCAATAACACTTTTATGGACTTATTAAACAACGTGTCTTTCAGGTGATATTGATTCCTATTTACGTATTTCATATTTTCATTACCTGAAAAATAAATTATTCAACATAAAAAGTTAAATCTATTAGGTTTTACTTCGCATGAAGAAATATGAATTATTTCTTCATATTAATTACACTTAACATTTATTATAACAGTGACATATAATGAAATTAAAATTATGTAAATAATAATTATACAACATAAATAAATATTAACTGTTGAACTAAAGGCATTTAGGTCTATCCTTAAAGAAATATTTAATGAATCCGCCACTGGTTTTGCAGACATAAGTCAGTCCAATTGATATCAACAACATCGGTAATATTATGTAATTTTGAAAATAGAAAACAGGCAAGTACAGGCTTATAAAATTTGTTAATTGTAACTAAGTCTTATAAGGATTAGAATAGATATAAACATTATGTAATTATTTATATATACTATTATTTATTATTGATCTAGTGTACATTTTATTATCAATTTAATTATTATATATTTCTTTAAAAGTGCGTTAAATGTCTATATATAAAATAGTACAGATAGTAACATAATCAAGTATGAATTAGTACTTTGACATATGTCATTTAAATGTTTTAAACAAATGAAGAATGCAGTGCTTTTAACATTCAAAATTAAATTACTAAATAAATTGAACTATATGTATTTGTATTTCACGTACGTTGTCTATGTCAAATCAAGATTATTTATTAATAAAACAATATATATGAAAAGATTATCGCATTATTAAAGTATAATCATAATTGATTCATATAAGAACAAAATCATATTATTAAATTCGAAATTCAAATTAAACAATTGTCAAACATGATCACTACTTTTTAAACCAACTTTGAATGACAAAATGCGAAGATGCGAAGGTTTTCGATTAATTTTGTCTTTTTCTCAATATTTTTTAAAATATTAGATTGATTTAAATATAAATATTTTAATATGTTGACTTATTAATTGATTTGTTTTAGATTTTTTTTATATCAATTTATTGAATTCACAGTCGTATTTTCTTAATTGTCAATTGATTTTTGTTGTTGTTTTTTAAATTATGTTCTATATTTTTGGAGTTTTAAATTGATTATCTTGGTTATTAAATAAATATATTAATGAGTATTAATATTAAAAAATAAATAATCAAATTATTCTAGTTTCTTGAAATTGTTTTATTTTGAAAACTAAATTGAAGAATTCTTGAATAGATGGTATAATTACTTTCGATGTTGATCATAAAGTCCTTTGTCTCATAAGAAATGGGTGTATGGAAGAATTAGTTGAAAGTGCAACACGGATAGCTTTCGTACTTCTTCGGTAAAAGTCGGATTTACAAACTATTTCTGTTAGTGCGAGTTAAGTTACATAATACCACTCTCGGCGGAGGGGAAGAAACAGAAGAAGAATCAAATCTTATTTCAAAAATTACCATTGACGATATTGATGATAAACTCTTCTCAATACTTATTAACTCTTTTTTGGCAATTATCTGCTTCTCGACAAATAGTCCTTGTCATTTAAAAAACTGGCGAAATTGTCCAGCTTAATTTTGATTTAACAATTTTGATTGAAACCAAAATTGTTAAATTTAAGTTAAGTTCAATATTAAAAGACTTTTAATTATATGAAGTGAAATTTATAATATAACAAACAAAATGAAACACAATATATACTTGCAATTTATAGAATGTGTAATAATTTATTTAAAATATTTTATCTTCAACAAATATATATATAAGTTTCATTAAATAACAATAAATGCTTAGATTCATCGACTTGTGTTCATACATTCGAAAGCATATAAATATGTTGATTATGATAGCAATTCACTGCAGCCTCAATAATCATAAATATTCTTAATCATATATGTGACCTCGACCATATTGGGTCTTCGGCGTTTCTCATCCAAACAGCACGTAGCAATCCTGTACAGTTTCTCTCCAATATGCATCTCATTTTCCATCCAGCTTCCTGCTTGCAAATCCAACAACGGCAGAATGGATTCATCCTCGCACATTTCATCCACGTGAGAAATCTATAAAGTAAATGTATCATTTTGTCGTCTCTACTCATTTATTACTACATACCAAATCTCTGGAATCACGCGCATCATCTAAAGGTGGCAGAGACGTTAGAAGCTCCAAAATAACAACTCCAAAACTGAAACTATCAGTTTTGACTGAAACGTCTCCACTAAAAGTTAAACAAGATTAAATAAGTTATTGATTATTTTGTTAACTTTCTAACTTACGATCTGTGCGCCTCTGGAGCCATGTAGACTGTAGTACCAATTGTTGTTGTAGCTATGGTTGTATTTTGATTCGCCAATAGTTTTATGATACCAAAATCTCCTAACTAAAAAATGTGATCTTTAAATGTAGTTTTATGTATTAATGTGAATACTTACTTTGGGTTTGTTGGCGCAATCCAAGAGTATGTTGGCAGTCTTAATATCTCGATGAATCAAGGGAGTGTTGAAGGCTGTATGCAAGTAGGAGACCGCATCCGCAGTACCAGAAGCTATTGCCAGGCGATCCTTCCACTCCAAATGTTCGCTATTTTTCTAATAACAACAAACAATATTTGTTTGAATTCTATTAATTTTCATTAACTTACTTCTAGCCTGTAATTGAGAGCACCTCCGCTTATGTAATCGTACATCAAGCAGTAGGTAGGACCATCGCAGCTGTAGCCACAAATTGATAAAAGGTTGTCGTGCTTGTATTTACTTAAAACCTCCACCTCGTTCCTAAACTGCTTCGTTATAGTATCGTCGACGTTAACTTCCTCGACCTCATCCAAGTAGAGCTTCTTCACTGCTATAGGTTTACCCAGCAACCCGAGCGCCAGAAAGACGGAACCGAAAGCCCCGCAACCCAAAAACCTGCCGTTCGATTCGTCCAAGGTCTTCTCCATATCGCAAGAGTTCTCGTGTGGCGTTTCATTGAAGTTTTGCGTTGCCGCTTCGAGCTCTGCATAAGTGAAGTGCGGTAGAAGCGTGTTCAGAGAAAGATTTGGCAGAGGCGAAGAGCAAGTGGGTTTGGAGCTTTGAGCTTCCGTAACTGTGCTGTGCATTAAGATGTTCAGCAGAGGTATCTCGTCGGAGTTGCTGAGTGAACTTGGAATGTTGTTGTCTTCCACTAAAAGTTGGGAGATGTGAGGAATGATTGGTACGGAGTTCTGCAGCGAAATTTCCGGTTTAGAGATCAGTCCAGTGAAATCCGGTAAATTGCTACTCGCTACATCACTGTTCAAGTTCAAAGCGGTCAAAGCTGGTAATTCAAAATCATCACCGGCGTTCAATACGCTCAGATCAGGTAGATTGTTGTCATCAACTGGAATAGTATTGGAAACTACGCTCTCGGTGTTGTTAATAACCAAAGGCACTTGAAAACTGGAGTCACCATTGCTTATTATTTCGCTGGACGAAAACTTCATCATATCCGAAACCTCCCTCTCTCTGTTATTAACAACTACCGGTATATTTGCAGACCCAGAGGAATTTTGCGTTATGGTTATAGTAGGCACCACCATGTTATTGTTATCTGAATTGCTATTCACCTCACTGTTCAAATTCTCTATGTCTGAGGAGTTTACATTGATATTATCTAAAATTGATTCAATTTCTTGACTCTCTGGTGGTAATGTTGTGGATATCAGAGCTGCTGGACCTTCTTTAGGTCTTTCTGGCGTTTCCAACCCCATCAAATTAACAGCCACAAAATCTGCAGCTCTGTACAGTTCAGCTTTCTTCAAAAGATTTAGCAAATGTCCAAGAGCAGGGAGCACCCGATCAGAGGTGCCCCACTCATCCAATAAGATCTCAGTGCAGGCTCTATGCAAGGAAATTGATGCATTCTCAATTAATCTAAAAAAAAATACAATTAAATCCAATTGATTTAACCAAAACAACTTAGACAATACCGGAAATGTTCAGAGTTGTATTTTGGATTGAATCTATCAATTAAACAATCATAGTTATTTTTCTCCAGATGTTTAGGAACAATGGCCATCAACCTCTTCCAAGACTCATTGTACTCAAGGATCTTCACCAGTTCTCCCAAAGCACTCGGAGGTAGCTTTCTAATCTCCAATGAAGACTCCATCATATATATTTCTACCAAGTTCACTAAGATCATTAAAAATTGAATTATTATGTGTGGAAGTAATGAGACTTTACAAATATTGAGTTTTACCTGTTCTATTGACTGCAATACTACTAATTCATGAATATTTTCTAAGAACATAACCACAATTCTTTGTTTATTCGTCTAATTGCAATTAGCGAGTTTGGAAAGTGGGAGCTATTTGCATTTACCATTAAAGCAGTATTCTACCATTTGTTTCGAATGCAATATTGTGCGATGCAAAGGTTTTTGAAAACTGCGAAACTTTTACAATGTTTATTTTAGTTTCACAAAATGGGCATAGGGCCAAGAAGGAACCAAGAAAAGGTCAAGATCAGCTAGAAAACTTATAATCTTATCTAGTAGTTGGTGGACCGTTATCGCTTTCGCGTGTAAACAACAAGAGGACAGTTTTTTTGGAGGCTCTCTCTCCCATTTCCTTGATTTTTGTCTTTCAGATCAAAGCATTCATGGGAAAAATGTGAGTTCAGTGAGAAGGCATGGGTTAAAATTTACATTCTGGTTGTGTTCACACCACAGATGGACTTCATAGTTGCTGGGTGTGCAGCTGTGAGTGCTGGATTCTTCACAAATCCCCTCGAGGTCATCAAAACCAGGCTTCAGCTGCAGGGTGAGCTCAGAGCCAAGGGGCAGCATGTCGTCCACTACAGGAATGCCTTGCATGCAAGCTACCAGATTGCCAAGCATGATGGTATCCTTGCATTGCAGAAGGGACTAGTGCCTGCACTTTGGGTGCAATTGATCATGAATGGGGCCAGACTAGGTTAGGTTTTCAGTTTGAAATTTGACGACATTCGAATAATTCTTATTTCAGGCGGGTTTCAATTCTTTGATAACAGGAATTTGATCAGGGATAAGGATGGAAACATGGTATTCTACAGGAGCGCGTTTTTCGCTGGGCTGTGCGGTGTTTGCGGGCATTACTTAGCTAACCCCATGTTCCTGATTAAGACCCAGAAACAATCGCAAGCGGCGAAAGCTATCGCCGTTGGTCATCAACACAAATCTTTGCCGCTCTGGAGCACATTGGTTGAAATCATCAAGACTCATGGAGTAAGTTAAAAGATGCGCGTTTGTTTGGTTGCCTAACTCAAACTTGCAGATTAAGGGTCTTTACAAAGGAGGAATGGCTTCTTTACCAAGGGCCTTCGTGGCGTCCAGCGCACAACTACTAGGATTTTCCTACGCCAAGCAATTCATACTTCGCGAAGAATACTTTCAGACTAGGCCGCTTCTAACTTCTTTTTGTTCAAGTTTCGTTGGTGGCATTGCTATAAGCGTCTTAGTCACTCCATTTGATCTTATTTTAACTAGGCTCTACAATCAAGGTCAGCACATACCATAAAAAATCTTACAAATGTATTAATTATTTGTATGTTTCAGGTGTTGGCGCGGATGGGAAAGGATTGTTGTACAACGGGTATTTCGATTGTGTATCGAAAGTTTATCACACCGAAGGTTTGAGGGCATTCTATAAGGGAATTGGACCCATGTACATGAGACTTGGGCCGCACACTGTTCTAACTTTAGTATTCTGGGACATCTTCAAAGATCTTCAACATAAATATACGGCAAAAGACATGAGATCGTTCAATTGATCATAGATGCTAGATATTCTTTTTTTGTTTTAAAACGAATCTTATTTGTAATAGTTAATTATACAGTTAGCATACTATTTATTGATTTATAGAACTTTTATATTGGTAATAGTATTACACTGCACGAATAAAGAATACCGATGGAGTCATTAAATATTGTATTTACATAAAAAATATTAAATTGTTTTATACAACTTACATAAGTTGCGCTAAATATGCTAAACATTTTTTAGGAACGTCAAGACCAATGATAAAAACTGGAGAATCATTAATGTTTCGTGTTAATGCACTAAATTTCTATTTACGAAGTGTCTAAGCATTAATTCATATATTTCTGAAAAAACAAATGTTGTTTCTCAATTTGTTAAAGTCTAACGATATTTCAAGAAGATCAGTAAGAATGGCAAGATTAGTGCATAATTGAATCCAAGAGTGACATAGGAAATGGTAGTTAATGAACTGGGCTTGAATGCCATGGCTTTGTTTCAAATATTAAATTATCACTTTGGCTGCTCGATGGGTTCCACGATTTATAAATGAAATACCAAAATAAAGAAACGTGTTCGTTTTGTCGAATATTTCTTGGAAAAGTTCGAAAATGGAGATTCTAGCACTTTTAGTAAAATCGTAACAGGTGATGAATCTTTATTATGCTTATGCTTACCATAAGTTTTCAAAAATTTCTTGGGAAAGCAGAAAAAAGGGGAACTTAAAACTGAATGAGAAAAGTTGATAAACTTACCTTTACATTTGCTGTTAATAGCTTTTAAGAAAAGCCGTTTAATGTATATCATTTTATACAAAATACTGCAACAACTTCTTTTTTATATATCCATTTTCTATTATTTTTTATATAAAATTCAAATATTTATTTATTTAGATGATTGTTTTGAAGAATTTTGCTGTAAAGTAAAAATTAAATGAACTAATTCGAATTTTATGTGGAAAATTTGAAAATTTGCTTGGATGTGCCGGGATATCGGATATAGGAGTATAAAGTTTACTTGTTTGCTTATTTTTTTTTTATGTAAGATTTTTTCTATTTTTGTACTAAATATATGTATATATAATTTGTATATTTGAAATATATAGTATATATACGGAATTAAGCCTATATAAAAATACACTCTACACACGAAAAATTTACATTCATTACACATGTATACAAAGGTAATAGGGATAAAATCAAATATCGTACTCGTCCAAACTCAACAATCGAAATAATCAGAAATGTATTAAATAATTACAAAATTAGAAGTAATAATCGTTTCGGTAGATACAGAGGACAAATCCATACGAAAATTACAAAAAAAATAGAAAAGTTCAATTATTTATAAATAATAATAAAAAAATCCAACAAAAGAAAATACTGAACGCAGGCTCTTAATTTTTGTTTTAAATTAACTTTTCGAAATATTTCATAAAAAAATCTTAGATTTTTTTTTCTTGTTCATACTTATGTATACTAACTATATATATATATATCAATATAGTGAACGAGAGAATCACTTCTTTTCTTTTCCTCTAACACAGCCTACTTTACTCAAAAAGTCGATCTAAATCAATGAGAAATCAAGATTGGGGAAAAATAACGTTTGATATATACGAATGTGTCCATATCTAATACATTAAAAGTTAGTACACGAGAGTATAGGAGAGAGTTGAATATCACAAGATATGTGACTACTTTTCAAGATAAACAGATACGTTCAAAATGACAACAAAAATTGTCGTAAATTCGTTCTTTTTTTTTCTTCTCACGCAGAGAGAGAGAGAGTAATAATAAATCAAGGAGAAACAAAGAATTTTAAAATAACAGAGAACGTTAAATATTATTAAAATCGTTATGCCCTTTCTTTTTATCTATACAAAATCGAATCAAAAGAGAAATAATTAATAAGAAGAAAACGATAAACAAAAATCATATATATTTACAGTCTTCATTTTTTTTATGCTTAGCTTCTTCGCAATTTGTTCCATTTCATATTCATTATCCTTTTCTTTTTTAAACAAAAAAAAATATAGAAATATAACAAAGAAAGAAAAATCATAATATTTACAATAAATAATTAAAAGCGTAAAAATAAATAATTCATTTTTTCTTTACATTATCATTAATATTATCATTATTATTTTCTGTTTTGTATTATTAGTAAATTTCACCTCAACGGTCTGAATTACATTTATATATTATATACTTTTTTTTCTTCCGTTCATGTTTTGATTAAAAATAAGTTATTGTTATTCAAGATTTGTACAGTCAGTCGCCAATTTGTTGCTGCTTGTTGTGATGTTGATGGTTGTGCTGCTGCTGTTGCTTCTGGATGACGACGACCTGCTCATCCATTGATCCCGAACAGGAACCGGATGTAGAGAAATCGTCGAGAAAGTCGAAACTCGCGACAGCTTCGCGCTCCTTCTCGCCGTATCGGACGTAGAAGTCCGGTCGACCGATGATCGAGGGGCGGAAAGATGGGGCTGACGCCCTTACCACCGCCAGCTCGGGTCGCGCCGCGTTTGCTGCAAATTTACAATTCTTTGTTTCTGTATTTCGATCCCAGCTTGCGCCTGCTGCTCGAGCTTTGCTTTAATTATTTTTTTTGCTTAGCTTTTGTTTGTTATACTTGTTTTGTTGTTGTTGTGTTGTTTGTTAATTTGGCGTGTGTATACTTATGAGCGTTTTATGTTTTTTTTTTTTTTTTAATTGTTCGTGAAAGAAGCAGTGATAAATTTCACACGGCCGTCTCCGTGATCGGTGTGCAAGGGGCCGACGAGCTCGGGCAAACTTGAAAGAAGAAAAAAAACCAAATCATTGTTACCACAAGTGCCGTTCAGCACATATATAAATCAAAAATAATAAATAGTCAATACAAAAATAACAACAAAACTATAAGGTACAATATTGTTCTCATTTTTTTTTTGGGGATATTCCGTAAATCGATGTTTAAAGAGTGTTCAAGTATTTGGACCAATGTCGTACAAGGATTTTGCACAACATGAGTGGTCTAAACTTATCGGCTGTTGTCTCCTATGGAGTGAACATATTTTAATTAAAAGCTAGATCAATTATTTTTAAAACTCGTACTTAAAATTTTTCCATCTTAATATTACCTCATTCAAAGAAGAAAACGGATTTAAAATCTAAGAAGTTTATTAAACTGTATATTGAATAATTCGTCATTGTTCATAAAGTTTTTAAAATCAAAATTTATAAAGTTATACGTAACTTTATTTTTCGTTTTCACTATAGAAATTACCAGAATTGTACGTATAGCAATT